TCCAGTGTCAAAGTAGAAAGTCAATGCTTCTTTTGTGAAACAGAAAAATGATGTGAAGAATATCAACCATTGGCTCAAAGGCAAATGGAAGCTATATCAATTGGGAAAGTTCTTTGAAAAACAAATTAAGTATGCTTACGAAAGCTACTTGAACGAGTTACAAAATGGTAGTTCATCATCAGTGGAATAGAATCCATCACTGAAAAGATGGAAAGAAATACCCACAACAAAAGTTGAAGCACAATGAACTGTAGATTGAAAAGGGAAAGTCAATGTTGAACCTACACCTTTGAATTATTACATTTCGATGCCCAAGTCTATCGAAGTTGACTTAATAGGTAGTTTAAAATCAAAGGTTTGAAATTTGGTGCTAGGTTCATCATTTCAAAATGACTTTCAAACTAATATCCAAGGACCCAAAAAGGCTTGGGGACCTAAATTATTTTGATTGATCGCAGGTACTATGTGACGAGCAATACGATGAACATTGGCATATCGATAATGGTTGCTCTCGTCACATGACAGTTCGAAAGGAGAATCTGTGGGAGTTTTGAAGTTTGGATAATGCTGGAATTGTGAAGTTTGGAAACAATAAAAAATGCAAAGTGAAAGGTTATGGAAAAGTAACGAATGAAAAGTTTACAGTGAACAGGGTGGCATATTGTTGGATTATGTGTCTAAGCCCATAACTATAACTGGTATAAACTTGAATTGATAGTAGCAATGTCCTTTTAGGTTGCCTTCAAACCTGACAATGGAATAGGATGACTGTTAGAGATTGAAGAATGATTTATTAATTTATTACTTGGTTGATAAATTAATTTGAAATCAAAATAAATGATTTAATTAATGTATTATATGAATAATATATTAATTAGTAATCATATAGTCTAATTAATATTTAATCAGAAATTAACTTGGAGTTAATTTTGGGATTAAAGAAATTAATTAAAATTACAGGGACTAAATGTGACAATGTTCAATAGTTGAGCATTCTAGAACCTCCTTTAGAGGGGGAACGAAATCTAGATGCTCCCAGGGTTTCCTTGGGCTCTAAGGGTGCCTTGGAAGCCATAGGGAGGAAGTTAAGGGATTAGGGTTATCTAAGATACACCTGCCTTATCCTAAACCTTCCTTATCACCTATATAAACCCTTATAGGGTTGGATTTCATCCTATGCACTCCAAGAAAGGCTTAGAGACAAATTTTCCACTTCCCTTCTCTCACTACATAGTAATCCTTGGTTTCTAGGTTTGTTTGCGAGCCATTAGAGGTGCGACACTTGTGGCGCTTGCTACCAAAGGTTTTTTCAAGCAAGGTTTTTAGATTGTTTTTACAGTATAAAAATCGAGGTATGTATTTTAATCCCTATTGTGTGAATTTGATTATAATACATAGAACATAGGTTTTCTTCTTTTGTGTTCAAGTTACATGTTCAATTGTAGAAAACCTAGATACAATTCAATTAGGGTTGCATGTACACATAGGATTGTATGTTTTGCTCAAAACCCATCACATATGTCGTAGGCTTACAACACAACTTGATAAATGTTTCGCAACTTGTTGTGGGAACTGACAATCAAGTAGTCTTTGATGAAGAAGGAAGTTTCATCTCTAATAAAGAAACGAAGGAAGTTTTTATTAAGTAGAAAAGGAAAGGTGACATGTTCACAATCGACATGAAGCTTATTGTCTGTCTGATTATTTTCAAAATCCTCATCAAATGTTAGCTGGTTGTGGCATCGTCGATTCTCCCATTTGAATTTTATGAATCTTAACAATCTGGTTATACATGATCTTGTTCGTCACTTACCTGTATTAAAATTTGATAACCTTCCATTATGTGCAACTTGTAAACATGGAAAGGAACATCATCAAGGTCATCCCATTGATATTGACTCAACGATCATCTGACATTCACAACTTCTTCACATTGAGCTTTGTGGACCTTTGACTGTTGAGACTCTCAATAAGAAGTACATATTGGTCATTGTTGATGACTTTTCAAGGTTTAATTGGGTTTTCTTTCTTCATCAAAAGTCTGAAACTGCTCAAGTGATGATAGATTTCATCAAGCAAATCAAACTAAGTCTGAGAAAGAAAGTTATAAGAATCAAAAGTGATAATGGTTTAGAATTCAAGAATCAAATTCTTGATTCATTCTTGGCTGAATTAGGAATTTCACATAATTTTTCATCTTTTTACACACTGCAACAAAATGGTGTTGTCGAACAGAGGAATAGATCTTTATGCGAAACAACAAGAACAATTCTCACATTTGCGAATCTGCCTCAATATCTCTAGGCAGAAGCCGTTTCGACAACATGTTTCACTCAAAATCATTCACTCATTCATCATCATTTTAACATCACCCGTTATGAAATCATCAACAATCGAAAGCCTAATGTTAAGTTTTTCCATGTTTTTGGTTGCAGGTGCTTTATCATGAATCTCAAAGATAATCTTTCGAAATTTCATTCAAAATCTAATGAAGGAATATTCTTGGGATACTCACACAACTGTGTAGCATATTGGGTATTGAATAAGTGAACAAGAAAGATTGAGGAAACATTAAATCTTACTTTCGATGACTACCACGTCAAATGTGTCGAACAAACTTTTGAACAAAACCCAATTCTCACGACAATGAATGACGAGTCAACAATTTTAAACTTGTTATTGATTATGATTTAATTTTTTGTGTTCTAGATAGAGCAATAGATGTTGAAGTTTATGTTGATGATTATCGAATTCTTGAAGCATCGAATTATTTTGATGATTCGATGGTGACTAGGGAAGAAGATGATTCTCAATCTACCTCAACCTCACAAGTACATGTCAAACGTCGACCTATTTCGCATGGTAGTCAAGTGGAGGGGGAGCCCTTAAGTGTGATGTCACAAGATCATATACGTGAGCTACTATTAATGTGGAGATTGATCGAAATACACATCAGTTAGAGGGGGATCATGGACAGAACAATGCTGATGTCAAAGGGTAGCATCACAATTGAAATCCATTAGTCTTGGGGGAGATAAATGGATCTATACCTAATGTTTCCACTGTTCAAACTGAAAGTTTTCATGATGTTTATGATAATGTGTCCAATGCAGGTGAATCTTTTGAAACAGATGAAATATTTAAAGATGAACCTTTGGATTTTGATCCTACATATTCACCAATGGATAGAAATACATGAAGCCATCAAAAAGAGCAGGTTCTTGGTGATGCTCAAGCTGGAGGTATGAAGCGTGCACAATTTCGAGCTAAGAGCGAGATACTAAATGTTCACTAGGAATTCTATTTGTTAATGTGTTCATTTCAAAAATGGAACAAAAAAAAAACAGTTAAGGTTGCATTGGAAGATCCTGATTGGATTGTTGCAATGCAATCTGAACTTGTTGAATCTGAACGAAATAAGTTTTGGAGACTAGTTCCAAAACCTGATGATGTTTCGGTCATAGGTTTAAAATGGATTTTTAAAAATAAAACCGATAAAGAAGGCAATGTTGTTCGAAACAAACCAAGACTGTTGTAAAGGATATTTGCAACAAAAAAGTATTAACTATAAGGAAACATTTGCCCGTGTCGCTAGAATCGAGGTTGTTCGAATATTTATTGCTTATACAACACATAAAGACTTTGATGTGTATCAAATGGATGTCTGTAGTTCGTATGAATTGAGTGAATATAATGAAATCAGAGTATGAATTGAATCAAGAACACAAAATGTAAATATAATATGTTTAGCTCTTTATTGCTTATATATGAGTACACAACATGAAAGAGTAAATTGTTCAAAGGTTCACAAAAGTTACCCCATCTCCTATACCCACCCTATTTATAGGAGTTAACAGAAGCACAAAAAAAAACATAAGGGCTAAGACACTTAAGCTTCGACCTCTAAAATGCCCTTATGAAATAATACATCCGAATACAAGATTATAGACTTCGAAACTAAACATGACACAAGATACTTCGACACCTCACGACCTATTTCAGACTCAACAATCTACCATTTTGTGAGAAGTGTTGAACCTATGTCATTAACAACTTCGTTGCTTGATGAAGTACTCTTCGAATCTCCTTGTACCAAATAATTGTCTTTCGAATCTCAGCTTTATCCCCAACTGTATTCCTTTTGCAATTATTAAGACAAACAAAAAGAATCATGTATTGTGAATTTGTATATCTCTCCACACCATCAACTTTGAACAAAAACTTTGTAATCTTTTGATTCTTGTTCTTTCCAACGAAAACAAATCCCAGAGGCTTAACACAAATCTCCCTATCTTCGAAAATCCTAAGACTTCCTTGACCTTTCAGCAATGATTGGGGTACTATCACTTGCCAATTCATTTCCAAAGCAAGCTCCACATCAAGGAATCTTCTTTGCTATTGACTAGAAATTTCAACACATCAACGCTACTCAAGATCTCCACAACATATATGAGTTCATTAAGATTCATCAGAGGGAAATCTGCCATTGAAAAGTCGCATGCGACATTATTAGCTCGAACCACATGATAGTGAAAGTTCTGTAATAAGCCTTCGAACAATTGATCCTTGGAAACACTCAAAACTTTAACAATCTTCACTAAGGACCAAACGTCCTCTTCCTTCTTACTAAGGACTGCATGAAATCTCATATTTAATCTCTTATATTCTTCCTTGTCATCAAACTTATCCACCAATTGAATATTAGTTGAGATAAACATCATGTGATTGATGGGAAAGTCTAGCTGTTTGAAGTCTAAATTCTCTATCTCATAACTCTTTTTTGGTCCTTTCTCAAAGTTGTTCATATTCCCAAGAGAAACAATCTGTTCAATTGTCTCATAACAAAAATGCTTGGTTGGATCTCCTTTTTCAAGGCCAGGAGGACCACATTGCCTTTGTCTCAAGATGATGTTAATATGTCTTTTTCTTTCGATTTCTTTCTCTAAAGCTTTCTTTTTATCTTCTTACGAAGGAGTGACCTTGATAACCTTCCCTTTATTTTATATTTCTTCCTTTGATGGTGGAGGCTTTGAACTCGAACTCCCAGCAGAAGAATGAATGACTATGCCTTTGGTTAATGGCTTCGAAGTCATTGTGGTTGAGGTTGTTGACATAGAAGTAGGAAGTGACGTTGGAATTTGTGAGCTTATCACCTTTCCAACTACCTTTCCTTGATCAGGATCTTTTGATGAGCCAACCCCCTTTTGTCCCCCTTGTACCACTTGTCGAATAGGTGGGGCATCTGTTAGCATCAAATTAACAAGTTTAAGGAGATGAGCAATGTCAGTTTTAAGATTGGATATGAATGAAGAGAATACCTGGGACAAATACTTTTGAGAAATACACGATTTAGGAAAAGTATCAATCTTCAAAATTGACTCCTTTAAGCTCTCTAAAAATTCTTCCAGCTTAGAAAACACCTTCGAATTAGACTCTGTCTTGGAATCAACCTTAGTAGAAAATGAATTGAAATACTCCACAACCTTTATCACAGCTTCAACAATATCATCAACCGTGGTATGAAGAATGGAAATCAAGTTTGGCAACCTCCTTTGACATTTTTGTTGTGAGCTCTGCCACTTTAAAAGTGCCAGACTCCTAAACCTTCTTTACATCTTCAATAAACAATATATGACATTCTTTCGCAACGTCAGGAGGCTTCTGTACCTCATACTCAAAGTTATTAGCATGAAGCTTCAATCAATCTTCCTGTTGTCTTTCAATGTTCGCTATAGCTATCCACCTTCAACCGATGCTCCTGTGATTTAAGCATCATGTCAACCACGATCCCAAAAATATTATTTCGACCACTAGTGTCAGCCTGAATCTGTAATAAGGAGTTCAACTTGTGATTTAAAATCTTAAGCTACTTTCCTGATATAAGCATATGATCAGGAATGTTGTCATCCTCTGGGTCGAACTGAATCTCAACAAAGGAAACCATCACATCAGCATCTTGATCATCTTCAGGAATTGACTTTTCCCATTCGGTGGATTGAGAAGAGAAAAGAGAAGTAATGGGTTGATTCATGATATTGGAATAAGTAGGTGATATAGTTAAAGCAGTAGATGCTGGAAAATGGACCTGCCTTGAGAGTTTTCCTGAGAACACAACACAAAGAAGAATCGTTAAAGGACATCCGAGTGTTCTCTCGGGACGTCACTCCAACGATAAAGTTAGTTTTCTATGAGAGGTCATTTTAGGGTAAAGTTCGTGAGAGAGAGAAGATGGATCCCTTCCTTGAGGCGGAAGAGATCCTTTTATACTTGCCTTTAACGGATCGTGGGGACCTCGTCCAATGAGCGTGAAACATGACCTCCTCTGATGGGGAGGATTACGCTCACGATAACTAACTGCCTGGTGATGTTAGTTTTGGGCCTCACCTAAGGTTTCTGTCACATCCTGATTGGCCGTGAGTGAATGAGAAGATTACGGGGGGGATATTCGTCCCTTGTGGGGGGAAACGAATTGCCGCTCCGATGCTAGACTGCCTTGGCCAAGAGCGGGCATTGGCCAAAGTCTTGACGAGATAATGTCTCGTTTATGATGTTCGTTACATTTAACATGACCATTTATGGTAACGTTAACAATGATGTTACATGATCATAATTGATAACTTCAACATATAAGAGAGCATTGGTTCCATAACTCGTGCTAGCTTTGATATCATTAATCTCTTAATTTAATCATAAGCAATTTTAGACAATTAGTTGGTTTATAAGGTTGCTAGTTGATAAACATTAAATTTGATATTTGTTAATCATAAAAACTAGTAATTGATTATAATTAGTAATATAATTGGTTAAGAGTCAATACTTCATTGCAGCATCATAAGCGCACCATAGGAAATAAGGATTCGAAGTTTAAGAGGAAGTCATTTGAAAATCATTTTGTAAAACTTATTCTATTTGCTAATTTTAATTTATTCGTATTAAAGTATAACCCCACCCCCCACCCCTCCCCCAAAATAATAATAATAATAATAATAATAATAATAATAATAAGTTTTCTTTTTAATTGATTCGATCTATTATAAGTCACATCCTTATTTATTACAAGTGTACTTTATCTAATTATGTTCACTAACTATATAGGTATTAATTAAGAAGCATTTGATAAAGAGTTTATAGCCAAGCAGTACCTGGTATTGCCTTTTTTTCTTGAACTTGAGGATTCAAGTCCCGTCGTAAACATAAGTGAATTTAAGTGTAGTTTAGGAATAGGTTAGATTTACCGTTTCAAAAAAAAATAAAAAATAATAAATAAATAAATAAAACTTAATAAATTTTAGTATAAAAGTCTCGCATCAAAATTGTAACCAAGTGAATGTTTAGTAGTGTGGTAAGTATATTTTTAATGGAATAATACAAGTCTAGAATCGTATAGTAAAAATATTAAAAAATAATAATAATAAATTAGTTAAACATAATATTTGCGATATTAAAAGTATTCATGTGTAGGGCTATATAAATCAGGTATATAATTATATTAAATATAATCTAAAAGGTTGCAATATGTAATTGAAGCGAAAAAGAATATAATGCAAAATGAATCAAATAACAACATAAAAACGGACAAGTTCTTAACTCATTTTGCTGGCAAGTTATGTAACTATGAGTTTCTACTTAGGAGTTCGATACCAAAAATATACTAATCTGCCCGTTCATAAAAAAAAAAAAGAAGATATAAATGAAAGAGTTATAATCTTTGGGTAACGATTTGTTGCTAGATTTTTATTTAAAAGTTTTGTAACACCATGTTTAAAACTAGATAAGTGAGGCTTTGAGAAAGCCTAAATACGTGATGCTCTAAGAAAGCGAAGACTCGAACAGCGAGGTTGTTATTATTATTATTATTATTATTATTATTATTATTATTATTATTATTATTATTATTATTGGTTAATTTTTGGTAAGTGATTTAAAGAATTTTAGGAAAATCTTCGGAAAAATCCTAAAATTTTACCTTAAATTACGAAAAAATCTCAAACTAAAATTTGTTTACGAAAAAATCACAATTACCGATAAAAGTGATGCTTTGACTTATTTTTCCCGGCTAACCGGTTTCATTACTTACCTGATTTGATTAAAGTCTAAATATTTTACCATAATTTACGAATAAGTCCCAAATTATGGTAAAATAATGTAAATTTATTGAAATCATGGTAAAATAATGAAACTTTAATAAAACCGGGTAAGTATTGAAACCGATAAACCGGAAAAAAATGTTAAATCATTATTTTTATCGGTAATTAGGATTTTTTCCATAAATAAAATTTAGTTTGAGATTTTTTCATAGATTATAGTGAAATATTAGGATTTTCTAAGATTTTCCAGAATTTTAATACATTTGTTTTTTTAATTAACTATTAAATTGTTACTTTTCAAATTGACAAATGAATGAAAATATTTATTTTTGTTATAAACTTTTTATTCTAGTAATATATAGCTCTGGCAGTTTTTTTTAATAGTTTTTGTATTTATTTTATTTCAATTAAACCTAAACCACCATGAAATTACCAAAACAAATTACAAAATAATAATAATAATAATAATAAAACAAAAAACAAAACAAAGTAAATAATGATTGTTTAACCAACCAACAAAATAAAAAGAGTTGTTTTTTTACAATAATTACTTAAAAATTTATCTTTTTTTTGAACGGGTAAATAGATAGATGGTATCCCGATCCGATGGATCAGGAATGCCTGGTGGGCCATCAAAAGGAGCACCACTCACCACCAAAGGGAATGAACAATCGAACCCATGTCAATCCAAGGAAAATCCCCTAAATGTGTTCAGCCAAATATCGAACTCTTAACCTCACCCACTGAAGATTATAATCCAAAATGCATCACAACCAGCTAGGCTGGTGATGACATGCACTTAAAAGTTTATCATGATTCAGAATTATCAAATCTACAACCAAATAAATTATCTATATTTTTTTTATAGAAAAAACATATTATAAAACTAGCGTTGATAAAGTCTTGGCAAATAGTCATGATGCTTCAAATATTTTTTTTATGTGTGTTTAATCATCAAATTTAATGGATTTTATTTTTTTAAACGTGATACGCATTTTTATTCTAAAAGATAGTAGCGATATATGATTTACAAATAAAATTACAAATTAAAAAAAAAAAGTTTTAATTATTCCTCAAATAAAAGTTCAATACATATCGATTGAAGGCAAACGGGCAACAAGCTGCGCCGCTAGTTCTTTCTGGATGGTAAAACCAATTCTTTTGAAAATAACATTTATGGATCTAGGAGATGTGGCATAAGAATGCATGACCCGTTGGACTCTATTAAGGAGCTCCACCGCCTCTGGTGCGAGAAAACAAATGTATCGAATGCAAAAGGAACAAATACATGTTGATTTTCTCTACATGCATTCTTGTGCTTTACCACTTTACACGCAACGGCTTTCAAAGCGGCATGCCCAGCTGTGAAACCCCCGCTCCCCAAACCAATGAGAGGAGAGACCCCAGTAAGATCCACGCACGCATGCTTCCCTTCTATCCATCCATAGACCAAAATGTCAGCCGGTCTAAGTGTGGACCTGCTATCCTGTGGGTCCGTCAAAAAGTTCACTGACGCTTCTTTCTTCACATAAATACCAGCACACCGAAAAGCATCAAAGGGAACATCCCAAACCACATCATTTATATACTTTAAACCAGGGAGCTCTCTACAATGAACCGCGTGTTCCCCAAAGGTATCCAAACATGCCTTGCGACAAACTGGACATATCTCGTCAATTGGGAATATGGGAATCATGAGGCGCCCGCAGACACTCAAAAACTGCTTTCTGTCTGACAGTCATGTCGAAGTCGACTTCCATATCTTGGACGATTTTGCTAAAAAGGGCACACACCAAAGCTTTTTGAGATTTAGGGGGGGGGGGGTGTCCTTATTAGTGAAACCGCTACAGTGAAATCCTGGAATCGTATCGCGAAGATGAGTCATAGCACATAGGTAATCCGAGTCCATATCACATATGCCACTGTCACGTAGGATGTGGTCTTGTAATGCCCAAGATTGGGCGCTCGAGGCTACAAATGTGTAGGAGGAAACCTCGTAGGCCGAGTACAAACCCAAACCACTGAAATGAATAGGTAAGGAAGCCAAGCGCTACTGAATGTCTCCAAAGAAGGGGCCTCCACATACCACCATATCCTCGATAGACATGCGCAATCCTTTGTCAAAGAATAACGTTGCCTCTTCTATGTGTACCGGCTGGCATGTCCTTAAACCAAAGAAAGGTTTTGCAATGCCCATACATGATCGAAGCAAAAGGAGCTCACTCTGCAGGTCACATAGTTGTGGAAGAAAGCCCATCAAATCAACAACATTGATCACTCTCTTCATGGCCAGCCCGCTAATAAACCTCGCGTCTCTGCTAACAACCTCCCCCCCCCAAGGAGCTTCACCCCCAAAGAAGGTCTCCCTGTATCCATTGAGAATAAATCGGCACGAAGCTTCCTAGCATTACATGAGGGACAAAAAATCTCCGTTTGCTTGATGTTCAACTCAAGACCCAAACATGGACCATGCACCCGAATTATGTTCAACACTCTAGCCACCTCCTCTGAATCCCCAATGACAGTCCTTGCTGGATTAGTGTCTAAGTCCATAACTATTTTGGTATGTACTTGACCCGATGGTGCATGGTCCTTTTGGGTTGCCTTCACCAAAGCAACTTGATAGGATGAATTATGGAGAGAAAGGATTAAATAGGATTTATTAATATATTAAAGGAGAAATCATATTGTTTAATTAATATTAGTCAATAATTAATTGGTAATTAGTTTTGTGACTAAAAGAGATTAATTAAACTTAAGGGACTGGAATTGTAATTATAAGATAATTGCAATTTGGGCTATGCATTGCCATATATTAAGGAGTGGACGAAACCTATGGGAAAGCCCATGAGAAATCGTACAAGGCCTTAATTAAAGGAGTCTATGGGTTGCTTAGGGCTTAAGCATCCAAATTAGGGTTTCCTTGTTAGATAACCCTAATAGC